ATCATTAATTTACAAAGGGAAAAATATAAAATCTTAAAAACAAAACACCACTCAAAACTAGTAGTAGCCGGGATCCCTGGGTGGCGCAGCGGTTTAGCGCCTGCCTTTGGCCCAGGGCGTGATCCTGGAGACCCGGGATCGAATCCCACGTCGGGCTCCCGGTGCATGGAGCCTGCTTCTCCCTCTGCCTGTGTCTCTGCCTCTTTCTCTCTGTGTGTGACTATCATAAATAAATAAAAATTTAAAAAATTATTTAAAAAAAACTAGTAGTAGCCATACTACAAACTTTTTTGTACCTTTACTGTCCATTCAACTTTTAGATAAAATATACTACATATCTTACACAGATAACTGAGATGTTCTTCTAAAGAGTTCTGTCTATAAAAAGAAAAAAAAAGAGTTCTGTCTACAGCAGTGGTTCTCAAAATTAGGCAAAGTCTGGAGACATTTTTAGTTGATACAACTGGCAGGGAAAGAGGGCAAAGAGGTAGGGAAGAGCGTCGGCTGTGCTACTGGCAACTAGTGATAGAAGCTAGGGATACTACTAAACATCCTACAAGGCAAGGGAGAGCCACTCACAGCAAAGAATTCATTATCTGCCTAAAATGTCAATAGAGCTAAGGACAGAAACTATGGTTTACAAAATCAACAGACTTACTTTTACAGACTCGCCAATTAGTTTTTTGGATCAAATTAGATGAAATATATTAAATTTAAAATGACACTAAAAGGGACATCTAGGTGGCTCAGTGGCTGAGCATCTGCCTTTGGCTCAGGTTGTGATCTCGGAGTCCTGCATCAGGTACCGCAGGGAGCCTGCTTCTCCACCTGCCTATGTCTCTGCCCCTGTGTCTCTCATGAATAAATAAAATCTTTAAATAATAAAAAAAAATTAAATATAATAATGACACTAAATACAAAATCCACTGAAACAGAAAAAAACTTCACAATAGCAGTTTTCATGAAATCAACTTGTAATGCCATAAATTACATATGGGAATTTCACGAATCAACTTGTAATTGCCATATCCCCTATTATTTTTAAAATATTTTATTTATTTATTCATGAGAGACACAGAGAGAGAGAGAGGCAGAGACACAGGCAGATGGAGAAGCAGGCTCCATGCAGGGAGCCTGATGTGGGACTTGATCCTGGGTCTCCAGGATCAGGCCCTGGGCTGAAGGAGGTGCTAAACCACCTGGGCTGAGCCACCTGGGCTGCCTAAATATACTCTATTAGAATCAGAGCAAATGTTAGCAAAGTACAGCTACAATATGAAAAAACTACAGATAACACATAACAACAACAACAAAAACCCCAAGAGTCTGAGCACTGACTTGGGACATATTATTTTATTGAGCTTCAAATTTAAAAGTATTTTGCAGGGGTGTCTAGGTGGCTTAGTCGGTTAAGCATCTGATTCTTGGTTTTGGCTCAGATCATGACCTCGAGGTCATCAGGGCTCTGAGGTCCAGGGGAGTATGCTTAAGATTCTCTCTCTCTCTCCTTCTGCCCCATACCACCCCCCCCCCCGCCCCCTGCCCCTGCTGGCTTGTAAGCATGCATGCTCTCTTTCTCTCTGAAGTAAACAACAACAAAAAACATGTTTTAAAGTACTTTGCATACTGACATGCAAATAAATATTTAAGTTACTTAACAGGTAATACTTCTTTTAATGTTTAAACTATTAAATTAGGTTGTGTTTATATCCTTTAATCAGTAATACAAACCAGTCTCAGTTATTTTTAAATAATTAAAGCATGCCTATCCTTGGAAAGTAAGGACACTGTGTACAATATAAACACAAGCACACCTAGATCCAAGTCCCAAAGCTACATGTTTGCAGACAAATAATTTAACTTCTTTGAATCTCAATTTCCTCATCGAAGAAACAGGAAATCTAATTCAAAGAACTGTTCCTGAAAATTAGCAAGAATGCATAAACAAATGTTATTAAGAGTCAATCTACAAATGGTGCTTAGTTGTTAACAACAATAATACAACCTGAATATAAATTATGGTTTTATTATATCCTCACAATCAACATTTCACTTAGTAATTCGACTCATAAAATAACTATAAAATGTAGTTTAAAAAATGTAGTTTAATCAATTTTCCATTCCTGGCAATTTGAAATATTAAAATTCACACAGATTTAAAATTAGTATCTGAAACATAGAGGATGGATTTCCAAACAGTCTCAAGGAAAAAAAAACCTAGATGCCTTTATTATTTTATTTAAGTAAATAATATATATGCATGACTCCAAACTCAAAAGGGATCCTTTGATGCCCATTACCCCAGACCACCCAATTCCCTCATACAGAAGTAATCAATTTTCCAATTTCTCACGGAGAAAAATACACATATTTCCCCCCTTATTCCAATACAAATGGTAGCCTCCTCCACACTATTCACCTAGCTTTTCACATTTAGGCTAGATTTTAATTAACACACTCCAAGAGTCACTACTTATAACGTCTTATGGTTAGAACTCAGCAAACATCAGCTATCTTTAGAAAACAAAAGACAAAAAAAAAAAATCCTTAAACCAATCAGTATTCTTAGTAAACAAGACCATATGAAACAAACTTTGGGAAACCTAGAGATTTATGTAGATGACATGATGAAATACTTAATTACTTGACCAGACACTCAAAATACTACATTTCCACATTTAAAAAGGAAAACATGTGGACTCTACTACAAGTCATTCAATGAGCTGAAAATAATCAACATAATCCACTTATAAAACTGGACCTACTAAAATATCGATGAAAATAAAGCTATTTATTGGTTATAATCCAAGATTAAATTATCTGACCCTTTCCTAAATGTACTCTGCAATTTATTTTCTAGAAGAAATTTCCTTCCAGGTTTATAAAGGTACTCTTCTTAAAACAATTTATTAGCATTTCCTATTCTCTTTCTCTGAAATACCATAATGCTTACTTGAAGCAAGACTTCAACATCCCTTACAGAGCAGTATTGTTTTAACAATATGCATACTAGAGTTGATACAAGATTTTTTTTAAGCTTTAATTGAAGTACTAAAAATATAGTGAAAGTCACCTCATATGAAGCAAAGAGACCATATGAATTATGAGAGCAGTAACTTACCATTTTTAATAGAAAATAAAGCATTAGAAAGAAGTCATATTAAGTCTCAGGCTTATACAACTTTATTAACAGAAGAAATGTTTTAGGCTGTTGGCAACAGTATTAGCTGAATATTTCATAGGATTATATATGTCGACTATCCTGGAATATATTTCTTGCGAATAAAAAGTTAGAATCATTGTTTCACTGTATATCAGTACAGACATTTATGACCCTATTTCTGCATTGTACCACAAAAATACAAAGTCATCCTTCCATTCAGAGTTTTGGCACTTGAACAAATACAGAGGTCAGAGTTCATACACATGCTCTGTAAAACAGATCATTTCTTATAAACTACTACATTAGTAAATCGCTAGTATTTGTTATTTTAAGTTAATCTTAAAGAATTATATTCTCCATGTCTAATTGGAGAAATGATTACTATAGAATCAGTGACATAAATAAAGCTCAAGTACTACCACTTATGTCAATTACTCATTAGAATGCTGAATTTCACAAATCATTGAGATTATCAACGCTCCAACATAAAAGAAAAATACAAATAGTAATGATATATCCAATAATGGTATGTGACATCTTGAAAATAATAACTATTTCAGTATTACTTTTTCATCTCTCTCTTTGTTAAATCCAAGGAGGAAAAACTTGGCATTCTTGTTGTTGTGGGTATAAAAAATTGTACTGATCCTTGTACAGTTTTGAGTCAAATCACTAGAATATTCTGAATATACTATATAAGTAAATATGGCAAACAGCAGAGTATTTAAATTCTGCAGGACTCAAGAGCAGCTTGAGACAAAAAAAAAAAGTGTTTCCAATAATTTCAATTATGATACAAACCTACTCAATAAGGAGGTATAATAATATATTAATCCGGGGGAAATCCCGTGTTGTTAATAGGGCTGGTTTTTCAAAAGTAAGAATCAAGTTAACTACGAGAGACATCATAATGAAGTTTCATGGCATAACACAACAGTCACAGAGGCATTGTCTTAGGAGAGACTCTGACCTGTAACTTGTAAACATTTTGAAATAAGCTACTCTTACCCTCCATTATTTTTTCCTATCGAAAAATATCTAAATGCCTTTAATACACCAAACAACATGCCTTCGACCCAATCAAAAAGCTTTAGATGTCAACAGAAAAGAGGCCTAGGAATTGGGGGTGGGGTGAAGGAAGGGTTGGGGGGGGGAGTCGGGAAAAATGAGATAATGATCTATTTTGGAATTAATTCCCTACCTCAGGTGAAAATTCCCTCATTCCCCACTCCAATAGAATAGTATCCCATTACGTCTCCTCTTCTCTCCCAACACCGAACTAAGGAGGGAGTAACTCTGAAACGTCCTTCTTTCATCAGTACCTAAGGTCTTTTTACCGCTCCTTCCCAAAAGAAAAGAACAGTGGAGGCCAAACAGGCTGTAACGTAGAAAACCCTCAAAAGTGTGGGCCTCGGAGCGGCGCGGCTCTCGGGATCCAGTTACCACCTTTCCCCTTTCCCCTTCCCCCAACCCACTTCCCGGGTTTTCTCAGGCCCGGCCTGCTCCCTCCCCACCCTACATCCACACTTCCAGCTGTTGCCACGGCCTCGGGGCTCTCTCTGGAGCTCACACCCCTCCAGGAAGCGCCCCCTTCTCCATCTGCCCCCCAAACCGTGTTCCTCTCCAGACCGCCCGCCCGCGAGACTGTCCATCCCAGGGCCCGGGGAGGGGAGGGGAGGGCGACGGAAGCAGGGGGGAGACTGCTGCTTCCCCACAGGCAGAAAGGGCGACCGCAAAGAGGGCCACCCAGGGGTTACCGGGGGGGCCGGGGTCGCCGCTGGGAGCACCCTCCCGCCCAGGGCTGGGGTGGGGGCATGTCTGGGAGTTCATTTCTGACCTCCTCGCTCTTCAGCACCTCCTTGAACTCCCGCTTGATTCGCTGCACCGCGATGTTGGCCATGTCTCCGCCCGCAGCTGATTCGTACCCGCCTCCTCCGCCACCGCTACGACCACCGCCACCGCCGCCACCTCTTCCACCAGCGCCTCCTCCCTCGGCGATTCACACCCGAGCACACGAACGCTGCCACTGCCACCCCGGCCGCCGCGCTCTCCTCAGTGTGGAATCACCTCCGCGCCCGGCCACCAAAATGGCGCCGGGTCCGCGCATGCGCAAGACGCTGACCCGGCCGGGCGGCGCAGCCGCTCCCGTCGTAGCCCCATACGCCTCCAACGCGAGCCCGCGCCGCGCTGCGCCGCGCGTCTCTGCCGGAGCTGCGGCCGCGTGGCTCCGCCCTGCCGGCGTCTGAGGCCAGGAGGGTGCGGCTTCCGCGCTGGCCGGCCCTGCGCGGGCCTCCCGGTCCTCTCGGGTGCCTCCGCCCCTCTTCAAATCGCTGTGGTGCGGCCGAGGCTTCCCACCCGCGGCCTCTGACGGAGGGCTGAGCGCAAGCTGACGGGTTCTCGCGGCCCCAGTCGGCGCTCGCAGCCGTCCTGACTCAGCCAGACCCAGGACCCCCGGGCTTGCTGCGCCTGACTGTGTCGAGGGCACAAAGACACCATTCCAGAACTCACCCGGCCCATTTTCTGTCGGTGTAGGCCCAGAAAAATCCCACGGCGGTCCGTTTTTGTTCTGAAGCCATTAAAGTGCCACTACTAACGCGATTGTTCCAGATACTCCACGTCGCTGAATTCAAAGTGGTCATTGTTGGGTCGCCTCAGGTGTATTTGAAACAGGTAAAACTCCATGTAGATGCCTGAGGTAGATTTCGAAGTCAGATGTTGATCTTTGAGCTACTTAGATCATCAATACCGAGGTGTAATAGTTTTTAACCTTGGGGGCACCCTGGGTGGCTCAGCAGTTGAGCGGCTGCCTTTGGTTCGGGTCATGATCCCGGGGTCCTGGGATCGAGTCCCACATCGGGCTCCCTGCATGGAGCCTGCTTCTCCCTCTGCCTGTGTCTCTGCCTCTCTCTCTCTCTCTCTCTCTCTCTATCATAAATAAATAAAAATTTTAAAAAAATGTTTTTAAAAAGAGAACAGGGTTTCTTAACCTTGACACTAGTGACATTTTTTTTTAAGTTTTTAACATTGAATCTACATCAGAATCCTTGAAGAGTTTGTTTAAAAAAACGAAACAAAACAAAAACAGGTTGCTAGACCCCATCCCTAGAGTGTGGGGTGGGCCTAATAATTTGCTTCTCTAACAAGTTCTCAGATGCTGCTGCTCTTGCTGCTGGTTCAGGGACCACACTACCAGCACCACTAAACTAAAACATGTGAAAATAGTTTGTATGTTAAAGTGGAAAATGGAGAAATAAAATAAAATAAATATTTTTTAAAAAAATGGAGAAATAGATGCTTCTTGTAGAGGAATGGTAGCTTTACTTCTGTAAACCTAAGGGCCGGGATCCCTGGGTGGCGCAGCGGTTTGGCGCCTGCCTTGGGCCCAGGGTGCGATCCTGGAGACCCGGGATCGAATCCCACGTCGGGCTCCCGGTGCATGGAGCCTGCTTCTCCCTCTGCCTGTGTCTCTGCCTCTCTCTCTTTCTCTCTCTGTGACTATCATAAAATTAAAAAAAAAAAAAAACCTAAGGGCCTATGACTGTCTCGCACTAGTAGGCATTCAATAAATATTGAGTGAACAAATGAAGAGTAAAATGTTTTAAGTATATAGTAAGTTTGAAAGGCAAATTGAAAACGGTTGCTAGGTTTCAGGAAGTGATATGGTTTTGGTGCTGAGCGGTACTTTACATAGAACATTCTGGAATAAAGTAATAAAGTTTATTTAGAAGTTTTTATTTCATGAGCTGCTTTCTCCTCATCAGTTAGTAAAGTATCCTCCGAGAAAAATATCACAAATACACGGTCTTAGCAAGAATTACTAAAATTGTGGCACCAAAGTGATTCACAGGCAGTGAATCATTCAAGTGGAGGCACATGGAAAAAAAGTTCTTGAACTTCTGCCATCGGAACCAAGAGGAAATTTTTGATTCCAGCTCTCCTCCATGCTAGCTATCTTGGCCAACCTTGGTTTCCTCATCTGTAATAGAAGGAAGCTGGACTAGATGTTCTCTTTCAGGTTTTAAGAGGTCAGAATTCTAAAGCATCATTTGGAAACACCTCCCTAGTGGACTAATATAAATTATAAAAAAAGCCCTTCCAGCAGTGCCCCCTAGTGGTCCGCAGAGGTTATACATGTGAGTCACGGTACAATGAATTATTGGTGTAATGTAAATCATTGCAATGCTATGTGTATTTGTGTCAATACATTAAAAATAATTATTTGGGGGGCACCTGGGTGGCTCAGTGGTTGATCATCTGCCTTTGGGTCAGGTTGTACTCTCAGGGTCCTGGGATAGAGTACTGCATCAGTGCTCCCGGAAGGGAGCCTGCTTCTCCCTCTGCCTAAGTCTCTGCCTCTCTGTGTCTCTCATGATAAATAAATAAAACCTTGAAAAAATAAACAAATAAATAAAAATAATTATTTTGAAGTGTTTTGAGTACTTTACATTTATCAACTTCATTCAGTCCCCAATCTTAATCTTGGAACTTTAAGGAGACGTGCAACATTCAAATCACAGGGGGACTACTTTGGAGAGTATGGTCATTTCTTTGATGGAGAGGGATTTGTTTTTGTTTTGTTTTGTTTTGTTTTTTTGTTTTTTTCTTGAGAGACAGAGAAAGAGGGAAAGGGGCAGATGGAAAGGGAGAGAGAGAATCTTAAGCAGGCTCCCTGCTTAGCATGGAGCCAGACATAGGGCTACATCTCAAAACCTTGAGATAATGATCTGAGCCAAAATAGAGATCCAACACTTAAACGACTGAGCCACCAAGGCGCCCCATGTCGTTTTTAAATACACATAATCATTGGCTCTGAAATTCTACTTCTAGGAAGTCATTCTACAATCCTTCCAGAGAATGAGACAACTATATATTAGCTGATATGAGACAATCCCCAAAGTACATTTTAAGGGCAAAAAAAAAGCGATATGCTAAATGCAACGTGGTATCTTGGATTAGATCCTAGAACTGAAAGGACCTAACTAGTAACTAGTAAAATCTAAATAAATCCTGTAATTTAGTTAATAGTATTGTGTCAATATTAATTTCTTAGTTTTGATATGGTACTATGGTTATATAAGATGTTAACATTAGGAGAAGTGAACAGTGTACAAGAATCTCTGAAACTTTTCTATAAATCTACAGTTACTCCAAAAGAAAAAGTTTACTTTTAAAAAACCACTATGCAGTCCATATTGTGTATAGGATACCACCATATGTGTGAGGGAAGAAAGGACTATGCTTGTGTTTATAATGCTTGCGAACCCTCAAAATATCACTAGAAAATTGCATAAGAAACTGACAGTAGTGGGTATCTCCGAGAAAGCAATTTAAATGCCTTGGAGAAGGGAAAGTGGGAGAATTTTCACCATGTACTCTCTTGTATATTTTACCTATTCAAAACTAAATTTTTAAAAATGAGTTTCCAGGAATGTAGATTCTAAGTTCTCCATTATAATGATCTAGTTCCAGTTGATTACTTCATTAAAATTAACTAAACAAGTATGTATTGAGTGTCTACTATGAGCCAGGCATGATGTAGGCCCTAGAGATAAATCAGTGAACAAGAAAGAGAAAACCTTTGGAATTGCAGGATTTACATTCTATCAGGGATAGGGAGAATTCATTTCAAATGTATAGCCCACAGAAATACAAGGGTCCCTGATAATGTTTTCAAGGGTCGGTCTGCAATAACGTTTTAACTATTATCATAATACAACTAAGACATTATTTGACTTTTACTGTGTTGACATTTGCACTGATGACATAAAAGCAATAGTGGACAAAAACAATTACTGTACTAGTAATAATTTGATTAATGCCACCCACTCACTATTAAAAAATATCAGTTTTGGGGCTTTTGGGTGGCTCAGTCAGTTAAATGTTTGGTTTCAGTTCAGGTCATGATCTCATAGTTGGTGAGATGGAGCCCTGCATCTGTTTCTGTGCTTCTGTGCTCAGTGGGGAGTCTTTTGAGATTCTCTCCCTCTGCACCAGCGCCCCCACCCCCTCACCCCACCAAATAAGTAAATCTTTAAAAAGAAAAAAAGTACCAGTTTCCAGGGCACCTGACTGGCTCAGGTGGTAGACCATGCACCTTGATCTCAGGGTTGTGAATTCAAGCCCTGCATTGGGTATAGAGTTTACTTTAAAAAAAAAAATACCAGTTTCACTTTTTTCTTTTTAATAAGAATTGCTTGTTTGTTTGTTTGTTTATTTATTTGAGAAAGCACAAGGGGGGGATCCCTGGGTGGCGCAGCGGTTTGGCGCCTGCCTTTGGCCCGGGGCGCGATCCTGGAGACCCGGGATCGAGTCCCACATCAGGCTCCTGGTGCATGGAGCCTGCTTCTCCCTCTGCCTGTGTCTCTGCCTCTCTCTCTCTCTCTCTCTCTCTCTCTCTGTATGACTATCGTAAATAAATAAAAAAAAAAAAAATTTTAATAAAAAAAAAAAAAAAAAAAGAAAGCACAAGGGGTGGGCCGAGGGAGAGAGAAAAGCAGGCTTCTCACTAAGCTGGGAGTCTGATCTGGAGATCATGATCTGAGCCAAACCAACTGAACCACCCAGGCACCCCTCACTTTTTCTTTTTTTTTAAGATTTTAAGTAATTGCTTACACCCATGATGGAGCTCAAACTTAACAATTGCAAGATCAAGAATTGCATACTCTACTTACTGAGCCAACAAGGTACCACTCTTTTTTTTTCTTTTTTACCAGTTTCACTTTAGAATGTGTTTGATGAAGCAGTAGAAATTGATTTTATCAAACTTCAGCTTTTGAATACATGCCTTTTTAATATTCTGTGTGATTCATGGGAAGGATCGAGAAAGCACTTCTATTGTATACCAAAGCACACGATAAAGCACTTGCCAAACTGGTTGAGTTGGGAGCTAAATTAGCCACTATTTCCATGGAACACCATTTTTACTTAAAATAATTATTGAAGCAAACTATGTTTATCAAGGGTTGGGTATTTGGCAGACATTTTATCATAAATGAACAAGGTAAGCCTGTCACTTCAAGGAAAACAGCTGGCAGAATTTGTTGCCAATGATAAAATTCAAACTTTCAACTGAAAATTAGAGTTTTAGAAAATATTTGTCACTGTGACT